AACATTTACATGCACATTTTTTGCGCCAATTCGATTGCTTCCGATCGAAGAAGCTTCCCAAAATGTACATTTAAAGCTTTTCGCTCTATAATATGGAAAATATCGTCGGTTAGAAAATCGCTACAGCTGAAAACTACTCAAAATGGACTGAAAATTTCGATTGTTTCGGATTTGAAGATTCTAACGTGTTTTTAATTAGTCATTTATTCTATTCTTCTCTTCCGTCTGAACGAAAAGATGTAGAATTCGAGGCATTCTGTAAAACTTTAATTTTTTTTGCAAAAATCGACCTTCGACCCTTAACAAATTTTCAATCCAAAATCAAAATTTCACATGCGTGTTTTTGGGGCTCAGTAGATTGTTTTCGATCTAAGAAGCTCTTTAAATTGTACATCTAAAGTTTTTGGCTCTATAATACGGAAGAAAACGCCGGTTGAAAAATCGCTACCCCTGAAAATTGTTCAAAATGCACTGAAAATTTCGATTGTTTCGGATTTGAAGATTCTAATGTAGTTTTTAAATAGTCATTTATATTCTTTTGTTCCGTCTGAACGAAATGATGTAGAATTCGAGGCATTTTGAGAGACTTCATTTTTTTTGAAGAAATTGACCCTCACCCCTTATGAAATTTTCAATCAAAAATCAAAATTTTATATGCGTGTTTTTTGGGCTCAATGGATTGTTTTCGACCTAAGAAGCTCTCTAAATTGTGCATATAAAGTTTTTGGCTCTATAATCAGGAAGATATCGTCGGTTAAAAAATCGCTCCAGCTGAAAACTACTCAAAATGGACTGAAAATTTCGATTGTTCGGCTTTGAAGACTCTAACATGGTTTTTAATTAGTCATTTATATTCTTTTCTTCCGTCTGAACGAAATGATGCAGACATCGAGGCATTTTGTAAGACTTCACTTTTTTTTTTTAAAATCGATCTTCACCCCCTATGAAATGTTTAATCAAAAATCAAAATTTTACATGCGTGTTTTTTGAGCGCAATGTATTGTTGTAGTCCTAAGAAGCTCCCCAAAATGCGCATATAAAAGTTTTGGCTCTCTAATAAGGAAAATATCGGCGGTTAAAGATCGTGACTGCTCAAAAACCACTCAAAATGTCGATTATTTCTGATCTAAAGAGTCCAGCGTAATTATTAATAAGCTCTTTGCATTCCTCCTTTGTTTCTCATAAAATTCATGGAGAATTTAAGACATTTTCTGAGATTTCAATTTTTCCCTGTAAAATTCTCGACAAAAAATCCAAATTTTACATGGGGGTTTTTTAGCTATTGATCTCCTTCCGACTCAATACGCAGCTCTGTAGTATCCACATATAAACTGATGGGGCCAACAAGAAAAATATCGTCGGTTAAAAATGTCGATTGTTTCGGATTTGAAGATTCTAGCGTGCTTTTCATGTGAGGAAAACGATTCAGTATTCACAAATATTCTAAAATCCCATGAAAATGTTTTAATATCTTCGCCTGCACGCGATTTTTCTTCATGCGGTCGACTGTTTCAACTGAAGAAACCGGAAGTAATCGACCAATAAAATCAACGTGAAATTTAGTTACCAAATTCACTTGATCATAACGCTGAAGATACATTAAACATTCCTAAAACTCGCCCTCAACTTAACATTAAGCAAACTTCCACTCCAGCCTTCAAAAGCTTCCCAATTTCAAAATTTGGAAAACCAATTTTCCACTCGGTGATATATTCCAATTCTTCTAGGAAGGAAGATCCTTCCTATTTCTTTTGATAGACAAATGTCTTCCAAGCAGATTTCTCGCATTCTCTGAAAGAACTAGATGGACATCGATTATCCGCGGTAGGTATTGATCTAATGTCTTTTTTGCTCCAATTTCGATCAGGCATCAATTAAATGTAGGTTAGCGAAACTTGTGGTCATCAGATCGGTCGATACGTGTTGTTTTACAGTCATTACACACAACGGCAATATTGTATTGTTTCTTCAATGAGTGTAATTCGGGGCAATTGTTTATATGGTAATTTCATGTGTGATGGCATGTACGAGTGAAGTAAAATTGCCTCTGGACGGTGCCAAATCAAGCAATTACACCATATGTGTTTGAAATTAAATTTTGATTTATTACGCAAGAATTGGACTACTTTCTTCCATATAGGAAATCACTTTAAAGTGTTGCAATTTTTTTTTCAACTTGTGTAGAGTAGATTTTCAATTTTTTTTGATTTTACCTGTACTGTACTTTTTAAATATACATATGTTGGACTTAATTGGATTTTCTACGGTTTGGTTGATTCAATGCCACCGTTCGTTTAATGGTGCCCGTTACTTTATTTTAGTCTTTGCGACAGCTAACTTTAATTAACTTTTTTCAGGTTAATTAATGATTTCACGCTGTTTTAACTAGTTCATATTTTTCAATTTATTCGTATAAGGATAGAGGAACGGTTGTTAAACTTCTATGGCTTTTCTTTCGGTGCCACAGTTCTATCGAGTTTATCAGAGAACAAGAAATGAGAAGAAAAGAAAGAATTTAAGATCCTTTTTGTTAATAGGGCTGTTAATAATTGTTAACTGGCTGCAGACGAAATGAAGCGCCAAGGGCCAAAAGAACATTCTGCAAGTCGCTTCCCTCATCAATTATTCCGTTAGGTAATTAAAATAGATTTTACTCAACTACTTAGTTCTACCATTAGTAAGTCGCGAAACACACCAGAAAGTGTAAAACATGTATAAAAAACGGCTTTGTTGCAGTTAGTTGCATTTGGATTTTCCATCATCCTTCTGTTAGAACGTTCGAATGCCGATTTCGAGGTGTTAAAATTGGCTTTTATTCGATCTTGTGTGCCGATTTCACTTCGCTATTTGGTTACATTTGTTTAGATCTTTTTAAGTTTACTTCAGTCAAGAGTTGTTGTGAATACGCTAAGTGACTTTCAAATAGTTATCGAAGTCGATGAAATTGACCCGCTCTTTCTTGATCTTGACAAATTCACTGTGTTTGGCCTTTGAGGTGGATTTCCTTTTGTTTCGGTCCATTTAAAGCACATTTTGTTGGCCTTTTTGGATTTGATTGATTTTTTCTTTGTGAATAACTCGAATGTGAGTTCTGGTTGAACGTTGGCGTTTCTTGTGTATTTCCAAATCTTTAAATGAACAGGGACTTATTTATCTCTTTTGTTATGACCGACTTTCGAAAAATTGTTCTGCAAAAACGGGGCAAAAGAGGAATATTTTATACAGAAATCAATACAAGATACTCCACTTTATATGCCCTGAAAGTTGTAAATTTATCGCACCATTCTTGGAGTTTTGACGATTTTTTTAAATTTAGTCGGATTAACCCGCCGTCTTGGCAATAATTGTACAGAAACTATGCCAAAGCGAGAGACGCTTGATACAGAAATCAATAGAAGACTCTTCGGTTCATGTGCCCTAAAAGTTGCAAATTGAAGGCGTGTTTTTTGAATGTTGGGGAACTCTTCAAATTGACTTGGATTTTTCCGTTAACAGACACTTTCAAAATTATTATGCAAAAACTGTACTAAAGATAGAAACGAGTTATACAGCAATCAGTGGAAAAGACTTTACGTTATATGCCCTAAAAGTGGCAAATTCATAAAGTAGTTATTCGAGTTAGAGCGATTTTTTTAAATGGAGCTGGTGCCTTTTTGACGCTAATAAACAGATTCTAAAAATAATTATGCAAAAACTAGACGAAACAGAAAAACGCTTTATGAGGCAATCAATAAAAGGGACGTGATGTGCCCTAAAAGTTGCAAATTCAAGGCAAATTTTCTGAATTTTTGGCGAATTTTTAAAATTGACTTGGATTTTCTCGGTGTAGCTTACGTTAACAGACAGATTCAAAAAATCATTACGCAAAAACTAGATTAGAGCACGACATTCTTTATGAAGCAATCAATAGAAGACACTTCGCTTTATACTCCCTAAAAGTTGAAAATTGAATGCAAATTTTCTGAATTTTTGGCAAATTTTTCATTTTGACTTGGATTCTTCCGGGATGTCGAATTTTTTAAATAGAGCCGAATTCTCCTTGACGTTGATAGACACATTCGAAAAATAGTTATGGAAAAACTAGACGAAATAGAGAAACGCTTTACGAAGAAATCAATAGACGAGACTTCGCTTTATATGCTCTAAAAATTGCGAATTTGCTGCAAATTTTCTGAATTTTTAGGGAATTTTTGAAATTGGCTTGGACTCTTCCGGCATGTTTTTTACTTTAATAGACCTTTTCACAAACCATTATGCAAAAAATATGCCCACGATGGAGACACTTTGTACAGTAATCAATAGAAGAAACTTCACATTATCTGCTCACAAAGTATCAAATTCATAACGCAGTTTTTCGAGTTTGTTGAATTTTTTAAATAGAGCCGGTGTCTCCTTGGTGTTAATAGGCACATTGCAAAAGTAGTTAGATATGAAAAAATTAGACGAAAGAGGGCGAAAAGCTTTGGTAAGCAATCACTATTGATTGCAATGATTTTTTGAAAATGTCTGCTAACGTAAAAGACACACCGGCAAAATTTAAGTCAATTTCAAAAAATCGCCGAAAATTTTTGACGATTTTTTGAAATTTTTTGAAATTTTCCCGGTGTTTTTTTACGTTAGCAGACATTTTCAAAAAATCGTTGCAGAAAAACTATGCTTGAGATGAAGACACCTTATACAGCAATGAATAGAAAATAGTGCGCGTGATTCGCTCTAAAAGTTGCAAATTTAACTAAAATTTTCTGAATTTTTGAAATTGACTTGAATTTTTTCGGCGGCTTTTTTACGTTAAGAGATACTTTCAAAAAACTATTATGCACAAACTATAGTACATCTAGGGACACTTTATAGAGCAATCAATAGGAAAAGCACCCTGATATGCACTCAATAGATAGAGTCGTATTTTGAGTTTTGACTCTTTTTAACTGAAGAATAGAACCGCCACATGAACCAAAATGAAAATGGTATCAAAAAAACTCAATTTTTCAAAATCAACTCACCTTTTGGGTAACGTAAACCGCCGTGGCCGATAAGCCTGGTCGATCTTTCTCGCGATATTCATGGCTTCGATGCTGTTTCAATCAGTCTTTTCACACCAACGAATCAACTAGAGTTTCAGTCACCAAAACGTCTTTAGCACATTGGAACGCGAAAAAACAGCGGCCAATCAGCCGAGCCCATAGACGCAAATGCGACCATCAACAGACACTATTCTGGTCGAAATCTCTTCGACTTCCTGCCGGCAAGTACCAGCGTCGAACCAGCCTGATGGTACTCCTGCTGCTTCCACATTTGGCCTACTCTTTTGATTTACGTGTGGCGTCCGTTGTCCTCGTAATTATTCTAGGTTTTTCAGTCACATCACGCGCCATGACTGGTTCTACAAATGCCGAATGTTCTTTTGTGTTAATTACCGTTTTTTCAGAGGTTTGTTTTGATTTTTTCTCATGGTTCCGGGTACCTTTGCCGATTTGTTATCGTGTGCTTCAGTTGATAGTTTTCCACTTTTTATGGGGCGTTTGCATGTTGTTCTATAGTTTTATTTGATTTGTTGTTTTTGGTTGATTCAGGTTTCTGCTTGATTCACTTTGATGAAAAAATATTGCGCGGTTGGAAGATATTTGAAATGGGAACTTCGTGGTTGGTAACCGCGCGCTAAATACCAGCAGCTAAAATTTGCGTTCGAAGAACGATTCTTTGATGTATTGATTTTGCCAAAAGACTTTTGAATGCAAACAGAAAAACCAATCCAGATTGTTTTTATTAAAATTAACACATTGCCAATCGCTTCAAAGCCCTTAGACTTAAATCCCTACTTTCTAGGCCGATGAGGCCTGTTTCAAATAAGCAATCAAATCCTTCCGCTCCTGCTCCTTCTTCAGGCCAGCAAACACCATTTTCGTTCCCGGAATATACTTTTTCGGGTCCGTCAAGTACACGTCAAGAGTTTCCTCGTTCCAGACCACTCCCTTGTTCTTATTGGCCTCCGTATAGGAATAGTTGGGCGCCTGGCCGCTTTTCCTGCCGAACATTCCATGCAAATTGGGGCCCACCTTATGTTTGCCCCCTTTCTCCACTGTGTGGCACTGCGAACACGAGCGCACGAAGATTTTCTGACCCTTGCCAGCGTCTCCCATTTTTCTTCAATTTGTCACCAAAATTTCGAAGATTCGTCTTCAAATGCCATCATTGTTTTGTCAACGTCATTAAACTTCCATTTTTATGCCAGTGTTTCCTGTTGTTTGTTCCTTGTTTTAATTCGAAAAAATCAATTAGATTCCAGGTACCAAGAAAAAGTTCTGCGAAGAAGCGGAATACACAAGAAGCTTTACAGAAGGACAAATTCAAGAACGCGAGTTTCATTAAAAACCATCGAATCACTCTCCCGATAATCCAACAAATCAGTTTTATTTGAAGAAATTTGACCACCAATAGCCGAGGAGCCCGGCATTTTTTCCGAGTAAAAGTTAGGTCAGATTTAAATA